GGCACATTTAATTTAGTGAGCGAAGGGGCAGAAATGGCTCTTTCGATCATAAAGGTTGCAGACCCCTGTGCTAAACAATGAAAACAGGAGGAAAATTTCACAAAACTCAGCACGACTTGTCTTTTAATTTGACACCAGAAGTGAATCAGAAAGTTGAAGCTTCATCTTGAACCGCCTAACGGTGGTCGCATCACAGAGGCAGCAGAAATCCAGACATCCCTCTCTCTTGGGATGCTCCCCAGCTGCTTTTGTGGGACCTTTGAGTTTGTCCCAGGGCCCTGAAAACCTCCAAAGGGAGGCGTTCAGGAGGCATAATCAGATCACTACAACTGACTCATTTCAATCCAGAGGAGCAGCGGCTCTACGCCAAGCTCCCCTCGGATGATGGAGCTCCTCACCCTGTCTCTAAGGCTGAACCCCATGAAGAACGCTCATTGACCACTTGTCTCCTGGATTTCAATCTTCCAGTCATGATCCGCTCGGGTTAGAACGTGGACAGACCAGTAAATCCAGAGCTTCTCCTTTTGACTCGACTCTTCACCACAACCGACTGAAACAACACCCTCAATACTGCCTTCATTAAGGTGTTGCTTTGGAAGTTGAAGCAGAAAAACAGCGCCACCTGCAGGCTAGATGCATGATACATTTTAGGTGTGCACAAATGGATTTGTTTGATTAGATAATAATAATACCACTTCTGCACATTTATTTATTTTTAATCCGTTTCCAAGAACTTAGTATTGGAAGAAAAAAAACATCAACAAACCATGGATAACTTTTGTTTTAGTGTCAGAATCAGATGTTTGATCTGTGTTTAAATCTTAAGTATGGTTTTGTTTCCAACTAGACGAAGGACGTTGACTCATAATAAGAAGCAGCCCCGTTTCGTCTCCGTGTCATTTTTTTAAAGGGTGAAAGAAGAAGATGTCCTGAGTAAAATGTGGAACAAGGGTCACTGCTGCTCAGTAATCTCATCAATCACTGCAAGCGGTTCTCCAAGTACTCGATACAGAATCAGTATTTGGGGGATTTCTTTCTTTCCTTCACATCATTGTCTTTTGTTGTTTTTTTTAGGGGATTTCAATATTAGCTGCTCCCGTTGTTATGAGATCTTTTGCTGACTCTGTTTTCCAACCAAACCATCTGATTTTATTTTTTGTTCAGAGTAAAACCACAGCGCCGAAGTTCCCACAGCGTTGACAGCTTTGTTGTTTTCTCAAAGCATCAGGGTCTCATCAGGTCAGTTCTTCAAGTCGCTTAAACTTTTATTGAACCTTCTCTAAGAGTTTCCCTCAAGGTGAAAGATCCAACACGTCACCCCAAGTAAGACAAACATTATTCATTCTTTTAGTTACTCTGGCTTTTGCTCAACTCCAGAAGGGTTCGCTTTGCAACGCGAAGTATAAACAGAAGGTTGTAAGGCAAAAAATGTGTCTTTTAATTGAGACAAGTCACATTAGAGTCAAAACTTTCAGAATATAAACACATTTATGTTTAACCGAGGCAGATTCGTTTGCAGGAACAAATGTTTATTCGGACAAGATTTGTTGATATAAACAAGTTGTCATCGCTAATGCATTCATTTGTCATTTTGTTTTGATGGGAAATATGTTTGTTTGTCTCTTATTATTTAAAAAAATCTTACGAACTGTTCATTTTTTAATAAAACTTTCAGCAAAATCTTTGATTATTCTTCTACGATCCAATGCCAAAATGGCCGCCGCAGCGAAGTGACTTTAGCAAACACGAGTGTTGATAAAACAGTTTTACAGGAGCTAAAATTGGTGTGGTAGTAGCTGAGACTGATCCCCAACAAATTATTTAACTGTCTCCCCGTTAGTAAAATACCTCACTTTTGAGTCAGTTCAATTCAAGATGGCTGATCTTAACCTTAGCTAACAAAATGGCTACACGTTTACAGAGACTGAGCTAAAGTTTGACGAGGTATCGAAGAATCTGTCGTGAGCCATGTTTTTTCTGTGGTTGTTTATTTCTTGTGTTGTTTCGTTTCTGTATTTGATTGTGTTCAGTTTGCTCTATGGCCTGTGTTTCGTGCGATAATCAGCCTCTTTCCTTCAATGGATTTTCATGGTCAGCTTTCCCTTTTTAATCCAGTCATGCCAGTCTACACCTGCTCCCTGTCCCATTAAGCTCAGCTGTCTTCAATCTTCTCGTCCTTCAGTTTCACGCCACTCATCAGCTGAGCGTTGTGCTTTGTTCATGCTGTGTCTGGTCCTCCTCCGTGTCATCTTTGAGTAACGTACTTGCCGCCGTAAACATCGCATCAATCCAACGATGTCTAATAAAGTGGAAAAAACATAAATATGTCGCTTCGCCGTATAGGTCGCATTTAATATTGCATCTATTACGCGTCACCGCTGACAACCCGGAAACGTGGGCCGGTGTTGTGCCAAAAACTGATTGGCTGCCAAATGGCGGCCACATGCACGGGAGGACTTTAACAAGAATTTAACCAGATTAACGCTTAAAAAAAATAATTTGCTCTAAATTATAGTAAAGTTGTGTGTCAGTCGAACTTTTACTTAATGAATGCACTTTGACGGTCAAATCAGCTGCATTTCAAAAGCCGATTCGCGGAAGCAGGAGCGTGCAGAGGGAAGACTCGCTGTGCATTTCTTCAAAATTTAACAAGATGACCACCTAAAAACAATTATTTCTTTCTCGACATTATAGTAAAGGTGTGTCTCAGTTTAACTTTTCCTTAATAAATGCACTTTAATGGTCAAATCAGCTGCATTTTGCCTGGGCGACGCGGCAAAGTGCAGATGATTTGACGTTTGCTCCAGGACTTCTGAAGCGAGACAAAGGTGGCCTGTATGGCAAGCCAAGTGTCTCAGTAATAGCCACTTTTACCTATTAATGAGACACTTGGCTTGCTATATTACTCGAAGGCCCTCTAGTGGCTGAAAATGGTAGTGTTCAATATTTTCCATGTCAGAATGAATGAAATCATCAGAGCTCAGCCAAAAATTGGTTTATAAATATGGGGAATAAAACAAATACGTCGCTTCGCTGTATAATTCGCAGGCGTGCTAATTTATGCAAAAAACTGTGACTTATACAGTGAAAATAACGGTAGTTGCAAGTTTAGCTTTGTTGCCAGTCTTGGTTTTCATTTAATAAGTTTTTGTCATGATTGTAGGTTTAATGACCCCAAAGTGACGGACTGAAAAGACTCATACACAGAATACAAAAACAAGTGTTTTTATTTACAGTGAGGATCAGGAGGTCGGCTGTGGGAGCAGGCGAGTATGAGGTTTCTGATTACCCAGTTTAGCAGATTACTGTTTGTAGAAGTTTTCTTACGGTTGTTTGCTTTGCAGGTCGTGTTGGAGAGGGAGAGATAAGGTCCTGATGATGCAGAAGGTGGAGTCCAGAGTTGGATTCAAGCTGAGTCTTGGTGTTCAGGTTAATGGTCCCGACAAAGTCACGAGGAGCCAAGAGGAAGTCGCATTAGTCCAAATATGTCTAATAAAATGGAAAAAAACATAAATACATTGCTTCGCCGTATACGTCGCATCTATTATGCATCACCGCAGACGCATCGCGTTTGTTACGCGTCAGTTGTGACAACCTGGAAATGTGGGCCGGTGTCGTGCCACAAATCGACTGGCTGCCAAATGACGGACACGGGACCGTGCATGGAGGACTATAATAAAAATTTAACAAGATTAACACCTAAAAACAATTATTTGTTTGCTCGACTTTATAGTAAAGGTGTGTCTCAGTTTAACTTTTCCTTAATAAATGCACCTTAATGGTCAAATCAGCTGCATTTCGCCTGGGCGACGCGGCGAAATGCAGCTGATTTGACGGTTGCTCCAAGTGAGCAGAACGAAAGTGGCAGGATATGGCAAGCTGACTGTGTCATTAATAGCCACTTTTTACCTATTAAATGACACAAGGGCATGCCATACAACTCAAGTGCCATCTACCGGCTGAAAAAGGTAGTGTTCAATATGTTCAGTCAGAATTAATGAAAACGGTCATATCTCATACAAATATTGGTTTATAGATATGGGAAAAAATTCATAAAAACATTGCTTTGGCATATAAATTATGCAAAAAAAGTGACATATACACTAAACAATACGGTAGTAGAGTGCTGTACGAATGGGTAAATGAGGGCACACGTTGCAGCGTTAAGAGCTTTGAGTGTCTTAATAAGATAGAAAGGTGCTATATAAGTACAGACTATTTATCCCTGTACATTTTCAACCATTTAGCTTAAAAAACAGCAATTATTAATATTATTGTGGTCCATCTGCTCTCTGATTGTCACCCTTTTGTTACTGTCAATTATTTTTTGTTTTCTATAAAAACAAAATTTAAATATCTAGACTATTTTAACACCAAAACACGTTTCTATCAAGGAAAAATGTATACGAAAGTCAGGAAAAACCCTAAAATTATCAGTTTATCTTGTCAATGTGTAAACTTCCCATCGGTCCAGTTTGTTATGGTTCAGCATATTTCCACGTGGGGGAGACACGCTCCTCCCAAGTCTGACAGCCTTTTTTCAAGATGAGGAAAAAAAAATGTGGAATTATATAAACATTTCCTCTTAGGTGAAGTGATGCAGAAACCTGGAGGACGTTGTCAAAGCACCAACGAATGAACCACCTCCAAGAAGTGGGAGTGAAGAGGATAAAAAGTACTTCAAGGGGAAGAAAGTATAAGACAGATAAGACAAGTGGAGGTAAAGGAGAGACCTCTCTCTGTAACACTTCAGCTGTTTGTCATCTCTTTTCCTGCCATGGATTAATCACAACAAGACTGACTCTCAGGGTACGCAAGGAAGAGAGGCGGAGGAGGGAATAACAATAAACCTTGACTGAATCGAGGAAAAAGCAGCTGAGTGGAGGAGAAGAAACAGCAGCTGAAGGTAGGGGAGAGGAGGAGTGAGGCAACCCCGTTCCTTCAAGCAAAGCAAAGAGGGGGAACAAATAAAGGAGAGAGGAGTGATAAAAGTAGGGGAAGGAGGAAGAAGAAGTGTCCCGACATGGGGCTCTGTGCAATTCTCCTCATCTGTCTTTCCCAGGCTGAGCTGGGGAGAGTCTGGGCTCATCAGCACGAAGGTAAGCCAGCTTTAATCCCAAAACCAAATTAATTTAGAGCTAATCCAGAATAACATATTCCTGCCTAACCCTGCAGAAACAGGTGAAAAACCTTGAATTCCTTCCCCTGAGTTCAGACAACAGGCGTGCAGGAAAAGTATTTGTTGGCACTTTTTGTGTTTGGTTTGTAAAAGTGTGTATTTGTGCAAAGTTTGTGTGTGACGCTAAATCGTCCATTACATTCCTGTCTGTCAGTTACAGGAAGTGCATCAAAAATGTGTGTGCAAGTCTGGGTTTTCCACTCCAAATGCTCTTTAATTTACAAAATAATTTTTTTTTTTTTTTTTAAAGAATGCCTGAAACTGATCTTCAAACGGATGCTTGAGGTTCACCAGTTGCTTAAGAATTAGTTTGTTTGTTTTATCGTCCTTTAATTTAACCAAAATGTGCATTTTCTATACACCTGTACAGTCTCGTATGTGCACGTGCCTGTATGTGTGTAAATGTGCATGCATGTATTTCTGTCCTCCTTGGAGATGCATTATTTTTAGCCGGCCCCCGTTCTTCCGTTGCCGTTCCTCCTCCGACAATCAGTGGTGCTCCAGTTTTTCTGGCCTCTCCTGTGGTCCCAGTTCCTCTGATCAAGGGCCTAGCTCTGCAGAGGACGGCCCAGAGCACCGAGACCACAGATCCAGCCCAACGTATAGGACCAGCTGTCAGGTTCGCCTTTGGCCACGTTTGAGACGCTGCCCCTTAGTTTGATTCCTTCATATTAGTGCCTGGTGACGTTAAACGGATGGTCCGGTCAATAGTTGGTACCTTATCAGCCATGACATCAGTTATAGAGTTACAGGCTAAGCGAGTTATGATTGTGTTTGTTATGTCAGTCTTGTGTTTAGTGATGCTACTTGTGTTTTCATTTTATTAGTTCTTTGCGTTTCCTCTGTGCAAACAACCTCTTCTCCTCAGCACCCACTTCAGATGTTATAATCCATTAAATGGTCATTATTGGTTGTTATCATCCCCATACGTAGCGTTCACACTGCCCCTCCTCTACCTCCTAGTAGGTTTTAAAGGTACGTTATCATCACTGATAATACAGGGACGTGGATAAGTGTCATGGGTCTAGACTTTAAGTTTAGGGTCAGGTGTAAGGTTAGGTTTAGGAAAAGGGTTATAAAGCTAACTAAAATACGCTTCCGGTTTAACATGCGAGCCACGATACATATTATCAACCATAGAAACGTAACTTTAAACTTACTAGGAGGTAGGAGGGACCCGTCTGAACGCTATGGGGATGATAACAACTAATAACGTCCATTTAATGGACTGATAACCTCCGAAGCCGCTGTCCTCAGTTGGTTTCTGCTGTCAGCCAGCCATGCCCTATTCTTGGTTTCATTCGTCACAGCTGCAGCCACTCGTCTCATCAACCCCAAATATAATCGTTCTGTTTCTTTCCATTTCATCACAAGTTCTTCATGCCACATCCGGTCCTCCTTGTGCCTCGTCTCCAGCTTTGTAAGTTGTTGCTGCCATGACAGATGTTTTTGCAAGAAAAAAGATTGATTTTGTTTTAAGCTCCTTTTTGTCAGTTTGCATCCTTGGGACCACCTCCTGATTCAGTGACACGTGCTCTAATGTCATGAATGCAAAGGTTCAACCTTGAATATGACGAAACTACACTTTTAAATAAATAAAAAATCCAAAATGCTCTTAAAAGGTTTCATTGCCGTTAGATATTTGATTCACGGGAACAATTTTTTACTCCCTCATGACCAACTAAACTGAGATAAATCTCTTTTACAGACAATACTTCTGCAAAGTTGCATAAAGATGATCCCGTTTTCTCCAAAGGACAGAGCAGCCAAGATTACCTGCACGTCTGTTTTGTGCCAGTTAACTTATTTGCTCAACATTTAGGTCAGTCTACCAATAACAGGGATTCAGAAAAAACCAACAGAACCTGGCTGTTGCACAAACCTGTGTGATCGTGCTCTCAAACGTTTTCGTTTCAGGAACGGTATCAAGTTGTGAGCTGGAATCTGTCTGTGGAAATGCTTATTCAATATGGAGTTTATTTGGAAAACTGTGAGGGTTGGTACTGCTTCAGGCTGAACGCTGACATCTGCACTGCACACTGCAGTTTGAAAAGGACATCAAGTTATTATCTCTAATATTTTCAGAAAAATGACAAAAGTGTTTTGGCTCCAAATTTATTTAAGATTTGTCTTCTACACGAACTATATTCATAATCTTCCACTAGGCCTGTAGTCTTACAATAAACAATACATCAATTAATCGCATGATAAATGAAAATTATCAACCTCGTTTTCATTTATCGGCTTTATCGTTTCTCCTCTTCTTGTTTTCTCTCTTCACTAAAAGCAGCTATAAGCAGAGATGCTAAGCTACGAGCTAAGCTAACAGGCCGACCTCGGGAAAAAACCTCTGTCTTGTCGAAGCTCCAAAATTCACAGTTGAAACCCGTGCTTTTGTATAAAAAGTTGTGTATTTTTCTGCAAAAAGAAGCTGAGAACTTGTTTACTGATTTTTATTAAAAGCTATGTGTGACAAATGCTATGTTAAAGAGCTCAAACCACACCGAGAGTCCACCATTTTCAGAACCGAAAACAAGGAAGGAGAGTCAGTTCATGTCACGTCAAGGGGCCTCCCTCCCATTTTTCTTAAAGAGACACACTGCTCGCTCCCTCACTATCCATCCTTCGGTTCAAACAGTCTTATACTGCCATCAGGTGGTCAATAAAGGTACTATATGCAAAATAAATTAGCATTTCTTCTTAAATTTGACAATAATTACTAATTATTGTTGTTTTTAATTACTAATTATTGTCAAATTTCAAACTATTATCGTTTATCGCAAAATCGGTTCGAGGTCAGTACGCACAACCAGAATACATAAGACGCATCTGATTACAAGGTTCACTGTCAATTTTTGAGAAAATTAAAGGGTTTTAAGGGTGCTTTATAGTCCTAACAATACGGTACTAAAACAAGGTGTATTAAAGCAAACTACCTGGTTTTATTTTTTGTTGTTGTTGTTTTTCTGCTGACAAGATTTCAGTGGTTAAGCAGCTATTGCGCCGCTCAAGGTGGCTGCATGTTGGAGCAGCTCTGTTAATTTCATTCTGAGATTTTGCTTTTGGAAACTTTAATTCCTCTTTTTCTGGATGTAAATCACATTTTTTGGTTGATTGTTTCCTCTGGTATCGGATGCTGTGCAGCTGGAAGGATTTTTACTGAAACTTTTTTAGTTTTGGACATTTGTTATGATGCATAACCATGGCAACAAGGCGGTTTCTACAACCAACAGCAGCTGATTAACATCTCAAAAGCTCAAATAATATCTCAACTACAGCCCCAAATTTCAAATGAGTTGAAAAAGAGGCTCTGTGGATGCATTCTCATCTACCTGCCGGCTGTGCTTGAGTGCCTGTCAACTGAGATCCTGGAATAAGCAGGAAACACGGCTCATGACAGTGGAAGAACGGGATCGTCCCTTGGTACAAACAGTTGGCTGTCTGCAGCGATGAGGAGCTCGGCAGACTGCTGGGAGGAGTTACCGTTGCTCTGGGAGGAGTTCTGCCCGGCATTCGGGTGATTCTACAGCCCGGGGAAACCGAGAGGTCAGCCGAGTCTGAGTGGACGGATCGAGCGGCATCTGCAGCCAGTTTCTTAGGATCCACTGTGGGATGGACCTTTACAAGAGATCCTTCCTGTCTACAGCCATCAGCATCTATAACATCTCTTAATGAAATGAGGATAACGAGTTATAACAAGAAATATTTTCCCTTTGGGATTAATAAAGTATTTTTGAATTGAATTGAATTGAATTAAGTAGATCACGATGATCTCAGTCACTTATTCAATTCAAATTCAATTCAAAAATACTTTATTAATCCCAAAGGAAAATTATTTGTTGTTGTAACTCGTTATCCTCATTTCATTAAGAGATGTTATAGATACTGATGGCTGTAGGCAGGAAGGATCTCTTGTAAAGGTCCATCCCACAGTTGATCCTAAGAAACTGGCTGCAGATTCCGTCCGATACGTCTACCCAGATTCGGCTGGTCTCTCTGTTCCCCCGGGCTGTAGGATCGCCCGAATACCGGGCAGAACTCCTCCCAGAGCAATGGCCACACCTCCCAGCAGTCTGCCGAGCTCCTTGTCACTGCGGACAGCCAACTTTAGGTACCGAGGGACGATCCTGTCCCTCCGCTGTCATGAGCCATGTTTCCTGCTAATTCCATAATCTCAGTGGTCAGGCACTTGAGCACAGCTGGCAGGTAGATGAGAATGCATTCACAGAACGTCCTTTTCAACTCATTTGGAATTTGGGGCTGTAGTTGAGATATTATTTGAACTTTTGAGATGTTGTCCCCCGGGCGCTTTCAATAGCTGCCCACTGCACCACCTGGTGGTGGATGGGTTAAATGCAGAGACTAATTTCGCCATTGTATGGAAACATACAGTGCTGACATTGTGATGACATTATTATTATTATTATTATTAATCAGCTGCTGTTAGTCGTAGAAAACTGCCTTGCTGTCATGGTTACGCATCATAACATATGCCCAAAACTAAAAAAGTTTCAGTAAAAACCCTTCCAGCTGCACAGCGTCCGATACCAGAGGAAACAATCATTAAAAAAAAAAGTGATTTACATCCAGAAAAAGAAGAATTAAAGTTTCCAAAAGCAAAAACGTAACAGAGCTGCTCCAACATGCAGGCACCTTGAGCGGCGCAATTCTAGAACTATAAACACTACAAGCTTTTATGTCAACTACAACAGTGTTTTTCAAAGTGGGGGCTGCCAAGGGGCACTACAGGGACCCCAGAAAGCTGGAGAGAAAAAGAGAAAAAATAAAAAATTGCAATAATAATAATAATTGCCCACTAGGCCAATCTGTATCTGTCATTTCCAGATAAACACGCTTGAGAGAGAGAGGTTAGATTTCTTTTGTTGTTTTGTTTTGGGGTGCAAGTGTGTTTGCTCCTTC